CTAGTTTGAGCTCATTTTGTGCCTTTGCCTTTCTAATCTTGCCCCTGGAAGAGGCAAAAGCTGGAAACAAAAGAAGCCATCTCCCAGATAGTCTTAATAGACCTGGTTTTCCTGTCCCATATACTCCTTTTACCAAGGACTTTGCATTATTACTGACGAAGATCAGCATAAAAGGAGAATTAAGTCCAATGTGTCTGTGTTTATTCTACAGTATCTCCTTATTTTTTAGACTTCTGCTCTAATATAATCATCAGGAGCTTAAAATAGTAGGAATATTCTAGCACTATATTTCCACCAATCACCACACAATCAAAGTTGTGGGGTAATTCTTAATTTCCTAACCTGAAGATTAGTTTACGTGGATTAATGGAGCTAAAATCTACATACAAACTATATCAATAAATGTGAGAAAAAATAAACTGCCTACTCCACATTATTTGTCACAATGCTGGGTTTTTCCATGCAAATAATTTCTTGTCGTCAGTTATCAAGCGTTCAAGAAAATAAGTATAACACCACTATCACATAAGTGACTGGAAATAAAGACAGCTGTGTTAAAAAAAATAAAACAAGAACATGAGAAGGCATGTTGCCAATATTGCTAAATTAACGGCCACCCTGCCGTAATAGATCAGCTGTTAAGAGTATAAAAGTTCTTAAATTGACAGAATAGGGCTCTACTCTCCTCCTTTCATTCTTTTCTTCCCTCTCTATGACCAAAGCTTTTCATATACATGTTTAATTTAGTATGGCCAAACAATGGTATTGGATACACACCAACACTGACAAGTATTCATCAGTTTCACCTTATATGGTGCTCCAATCAGACTCTGAAATATTGAGTCTATTGTGCTTCTTGGTTTTATTATGGGGAAATCAAAACAGCTTCTGGGAGGTGAAAATTTAACTCTGCTTGACATATGTAGCAAGTCAATTAAAAAAATATGATATTTTAAGACAATGGATGACTTACAAATTTTATACTGTAGACAGAGATATTTCCATTTAAAATACGCCAAGTTCAAGAAGTCTTCACATATTTCAAACATTTTTTCACCATATTAGTAATGTTATTATTCTGACTACTGAAAACAAACTTTACTCTTTCTCTAATAATCTCATATAAAACGAACTTTTGCTCCCTTCCCAGTAAGCCTCATAATTATGACACAGTTATACACTATTCCAGCACTCTGTGTGTTTAGGATAGTGTTGTAAATTGGGTGCTATGAATCAGATATTCAAATTAATTATCAGTGTAAAATTGTTACTTCATAGCATTTGGCCAACTTATGTTTCTTGAGAAGTCCCTCTCATTATTTATATTTTAGCAGTGCTCAAAGGCCCCATTGTTCAAGGTGCTGAAGAAACAAATAGGAAGACAGTTGTTGCCTTAAAGAGATAAATTCAAAACAAACAAACAATAGGAGGTCCAGGGAGAGGAGGGGGAAGGAAGATGAAAAACCTAATAAAACCATGCAGCAACATGCCATGCTAGCTAAAAGGGTACAACTTGATGATTCCAAACCATTTAGAAGGTGGGTTGTTGTTTTTTCCCAAAAATTAAAAAAAAACAAAAAATATCCTCATCTGCCCCTGAACCTAAATATTCTTATATATAGATTGGTTGTCAGTCTAAAAGATATGCTATAGCTTAAACAGAAGTTATGGACTTGATGCAGAAATCACTAGGTGAGGTTCCTTCCTCTTGTGTTAATGAAGAAGTCAAATTAGATTATCATAATGGTCCCCCTGGCCTTAAAAACTATTAATCTAACTATCAATAATTGCTTATTTTCTTGTAAGCATCACATCACTGGTGGGTCTTAAAAGGAGAATTGTATTTGCCTTTCAGATGATTTCAAGGAAGGCATTCCATCTATAAAGGGCAGTATGGAAGAACACCTGGAGGCATTTGTAGGATTAACTAGTATCCATAGCTGGCATAATTAGCAAAGCACATTGGAGCAACACGATGAGATGAGTGGATAACTAAGGAGGAACAGATTTATTTACGCCCATGAAGAAACTGACAAGAAAACTGAACTTGATGCTTGGAGAAAGGCAGGTCTATGGAGGGTTTCCTTGGGGAGGAGAACATATATAAATCATAGGAAGGGAATGAAGCCAGAAAGATAGGAGATGCCTCGGAGTAAATCAAGATGGGATGTGATTCAGACTTGGACAAGAGCTTTTGATGTCTAGACAGTGTTGAAGGGTCAGATAGGAAGCCATGGAGGAAGAAGTGGCAGGATTTGGACAAAGCATAAATATGGGGATGAGGGAATCAAAAATAACTTTTGGGTTGCAGACCTGATGAGGAGGATAAAGATGGTGTTAATCGTGACAGATTAAAGCACTGTGCTCCTTGAGCTAAACCAAGGACCCATGAAAACGACAATGTCAATCTCTGAAGCACAGACAAAGACATTACCTTTTTCATGGGTCACTGCCTTAACTCATGGAGCACAGTGCTCTTCTTAGTGCTCGGAGCATCAACAAACGTGGAATTCACTGCTATAATAGTCTCATCTGGGCATGGTTTCATGAGGAATCGGTTTCTCCTTGGCCCATGGTTTAGGCCTCTGGATACAGTCCTCCATCCAGGGGGGTACTGTGTCCAGAAAACAGCGACTGAAAAGGACTTCAAGATCATGGTGGATAACCAAACAATCATGAGCTCCCACTGCAATGCAGCTGTTAAGAAGATTAAAGCGATCTTTGTCTATATAAACAGGGGATTATCAAGTAGGAGTTGGTGTTACCTCCGCATATGGCATTAGTGAGATCATTTCTAGAGTACTGAGTCCAGTTCTGGTGTCTATGTTTCAAAAACAATATTGACAAATTGGAAAGAGCTCAGAAAACAGCTACAAGAATGATTTGAGGTCTGAAAAATTTGCCTTACAACTAGGAAGGTAAGAAGCTCAATCTATTCAGATTATCCAAGAGAAGACAGAGGTGACTTGATCATCATCTATAAGTACCTACAAGGGAAGAAGATTTCCAACAGTAGAAAGCTCTTTAATTTAGCAGACAGACAATGGCATAATGAGATCCAATGGCTGGAAGTGGAAACTAGACAAATTCAGACTAAAAAAAATATATTTAGGGTAACTGACCATTGGAACAACTTATCAAGGGATGTAGTGGATTCTCTATCACTTGAAGACTTTATACCAGGACTGAATGCCTTTCAAACAGATATGTTCTAGCTCTACAAGAAATGATGGGCTTGATTTATGCTGGAGGCACAAGACAGGAGTGAAAATCTCCTGAACAGAGGATATCTTCAAGAAATGGTACACATCAGAAGGGGTCTTGAGGTACCTTACCCTTAAAAGATACATACATAGTGGCACCAGCTGGAAATACTGTGTAGCTATGAGTGCCTTCATCCTCCCATGGTGTGGTTTTCCCAAGGCAGATCCTTTAATTCCCAAACCCCATTTCTTTGATCTGGATTACAGTGCTCCCACCACTCTGAAATGGCAGCACAATGAAGTATTAAAAATCCCCAAATGTTTTTGAAAGAAAACAGGAAGCCATAAGCAAGGAAAGGAAAGTGAGGCACAAAGTAATTTTTCAGACTTCCTTGGACCGCTTGGCTATCATTTCATAAGTTTACTGAAGAACATAGTTACATGTTACAAAATACCCACAAAGTAAGTCCTCCTAAGTCTCTCATGTATTGTAGTTCGGTAATAACCTGCTATCTATTGGATTTGAGAAACATATTTAAAATGCTTTTTAAAATTCTTTGTCTAAGGTCTCTTTCGATAGCTTTGAAAAACATTGTATTTCTCAACGCTTCTAGTTTTCCCACACACTGGTAATTATATCTTAATGTCAATTCCCATGGACATTAGTGTAATATTCCTCTGATTCCTGTTTTATGAAAAAGCATAAAATGTAAGAAGTCACCAATACTGTACACTGAATGATATTAACAACTACTGTCCAACTCAATCATTACCTTCCATACAAAGCTGGATGAAATTTCTGCATGCTTTTGGTGCTTCTTTTGACCATAGCTCGATGTCAATATCTCCAGCTGTTGTTTTCAGTAAAACCTATAAAAATATATGAAAATATACTATTTAGTTTTATTGCACTTAAACATTTACAGGTGAAGTCTCTTATCAAATAATACAGTCACGAGTAAAAAAAAATTCTTCATCCAATTTTAGGAATGCAAGAACAAAATTAGGAAGTTGGTCTGGTTTTCAGGGGCAGCTTTTGTAATGTACTAGATGTCAACTGTCCTACAGTTTGTCTGATACATAAGATACAACTCAAAGAATAGTTTTCATAAAACTTTATTGCCAGCGGTCCACTGTGTGACATTGGGCAAGTTTCTTCACCTCTCTGTATTTATTTCCTTTCCCACTTTTGTCTATCTTGTCCATTTAGGCCCAGATCCTGCAAACACTTATGTATTTGCATAACTTTACTACCAGGAGTGTAGTAAAATTATGTGTAGTATAGACACACATGGGGACGGGGGAGGAGGTGCAGGGCCACATGGGGATGTGTAGAGTGGATGTCTGAGTGGCGGTAGGGGTCAGCCAGGGTCTGCATGGGGGAAGGTCCCCAACAATCCATTCCCCCGCCTTCCTCCCCACCCCACCCCAAAAAAATGGTTTCCATACTTTTCCCACCCATATCTAACAACCCTCCAAGTTCATACTTAGGCTCCTTCCCAGCAATTTACTTCCTCTCCTTCAGCTCCTCCATTACCCCTGACTCCCCCAAGCCTTTGCACTGCTTCTGAGGGGAGTGGGAAATATGGTTCAGTATTGTAGTTTAAATGAATTATTACTCAGAGTTCTGTATTAATATGCCTAGTAAGGAATCTATCTGTCAAAAAACATTTCCTGAATCTTTTTTGTTGTCTGTATTGTTATAGACATACTTGCTGACAGGTATTTTGAAATAAATGACCAAAAATAATTGAAACTGGTGAACTTATGTTATTTTGACAAATAAAATATGCAGAATTTTAAAATATTAGGTGCATACATTATAATTTTTTGGTGCAGAATTCCCCCAGGAGTACAAAATGGACTACATTTGTGCAATGAAAGGGACAGGGATGTTTTCTGTCTTTCTAATTCTAAAGTTTCATGCTTTAATTTCTGTTCAAACTCGAGGTTTTTTTAATTTCAGCATTGGATTTTGGCACAGTTTTTGCTACACAATAAATTTATATTTTTTAAAAACAAACATATTTATTAGTTCATAACACATATGGCAGAAGGTATAGCAGTACTCAAAACACACTACTTGTAGCTGTACAGTATCACAAAACTCACAGGTTCAGTGAAACACGCAGTGTAATAATTATATACATACAGCAAGCACCTCATAATTCACAGGTTCACCAAAAGACATGGTGTAATATTTATAAATGTATAACTAGCTTATAGAATTCCTAAAAGCCCCCAAAACTTCAGGGCCAGAGCACACTCTAGTACAGCACATTACTGTAGCTGGCCATTAACATGTAGCTCCATGTTGAGCTCTTGTAATAGCCTTTGTGTCTGGCTGCTCCTCGCCAGAGGTAGTTTTTTCCCCATTTGCAGATATTATGCAAGACACAACAGGCAGCTATAACCATTGGAATATTATTCTCACTGAGATGCAATTTTATGCCAGCATCCCTTCAATCTACAAAAAGCACATTCAATGGTCATTATGCATCTGTTGAGCTGATAGCTGAATCTTTCGTTGGTGCTGTTGAGGTGGCTGGCGTATGGTTTCATGAGCTATGGAACAAGGGATAGGCTGGGTCCCCCAGAATCCCTATTGACATTTTAATATTGCAAATGGTAACCTTACAGTCAGGAAAGAATGTCCCTGCTTGCAGCTTTCTGAACAGTCCTGTTCTTAAAGATGCAAGCATCATGCACTTCTGCCCCCCCCCACTTCCCCCGCTCACATTGATGTCAGTGAAGCGTATCTAGTGATCTGCTTGCAAGGTGAGCTGATACCAATATAGGGATGTGTGTGCTGTTTATCACCCCAACACAGCTTGGGAACCCCATTGCTGCAAATCCATGCACTATGTCCTGCACATTACTGAGAGTCACAGTCCTGTGCAGCAGAATAAGATTAATGGCCCCATATACTTGCATGATAACAGTCCCGGCTGTGGATTTTCCAAATCCAAAATGATTTCCCACTGACCGGTAGCAATCTGACATCACAAGCTTCCACAGTGGAATTGCCACTCACTTCTCAGCTGCCAGCGAAGCTCTCATTCTGGTGTCCCTTTACTAGCAAGCTGGCGTGAGCTTGGCAAATAGATCCAAGAAAGCGGCCTTTTGCATCTGAAAGTTGTGCGGCCACTGCTCGTTGTCCCAAACCTGCCCTATGATGTGATCTCACCAATGTGGGCCTGAGAAATGAGCACTGACGCAGTGCTCCATCAATAACCTTGAATTGTTTTTTGCTATGACCCTCAGCAGTCTCTCCTCAAAGAAATCATCATGTCCCCTGTTGTTGCAGTTCTTCCTGCAGCTCTACTATTACTAGAGGATTGCGCGTTCTGTATTTGTAACTTTCATGACAATAGCACAGAGCTCTGCAGGCTCCATGCTTCTGTCAGAGATGGCAGGCAGCTATAAGTACCATGCAGGTTTGTGGGTTTTAAAAAAATAGCATAAGAATTATGGGATAGGGATGACATTACGGGATGGAGAAAGTTTAAATTAGATTAAATCTCAGGTAAAACTTCATAGCCATAAGAACAATAGGACAATAGAACAGACTGGCTCAGGAGGTTTTGGAAGCTCCTTCACTGGAGATTTTCAAAAGGAGGCTGGAGAGCCATCTGTCTTGGCTGTTTTAACCACAACAAATCCTGCCTCTTAGCAAGGGGTTAGACTAGATGACCCTTGCAGTCCCTTCTAACCCTATTATTCTAAGTTGCATGCTGGGAACTTGACTCATCTCCTAGAGATCACTGAGTGAGTCTTTTCTATCCCACCACAGGAGAAAACTTCTCAAAAGGCATCGTGCTAGAATAGTGGTTCTCAACCAGGGCTCCAGGCCCTGTTGCGGGGCCGCAAGCAGGTTTCAGGGCCGGTCTGCCAAGCAGCGTTAGACTCACTGGGGCCCAGGGCAGAAAGCTGAAGCACCACCGCATGGGGCTGAAGCCAAAGCCTTAACAACTTAGCTTTGCAGGGGCTTCTATGGATGGGGCCCTAGGCAATTACCCTGTGTGCTACCCCCTAACGCTAGCCCTGGCTTTTATATGCAGAGAACCCATTGTTTTGGCACAAGTGGTCATAGAGTTTTTAGGGGTGGGGGAGGGGCTCAGAAAGAAACATGTTGAGAACCCCTGCGCTAGATGGTAGCGGTTTGCAGGCTGGGATACGCACCCTTGGTGCACGCACTTTGCATCGACCCAAGCACTCCTGGTGAACATGCGCAGCGCCGAAGCAAGCAGCCAAGCCTGCAGGTACAGGAGCGCCAACGTAACTTGCACCTGCCAAGAAGTGTAGCACAGGCACAGGGGTGCGGGAACCATTTGTATAACGGGGGCCCGGGTGATGGTCAGTGGAGCTGCCCCTCTCGCTCCTGGCTCCCTTCACCTCTCCCAGCCTCACAGCTGGTCCCCTGGCCCCATCCCACCTCACGCGTCCCCGGCGCGCCCGGGGCGGGGGCTCACCTTGCCGTTGGTCGGAGGCTCCTGGATGTAGATGTTGCTCATGCTGGCGGCGGGGGCGGGCTAGGGCTGAGGGGAGGGGGCGCCGCGAGGATGGACCCGGCTCCGCTTTCGCTCCAGTCCCGGCGCTGCGGAATCCCCGACTAGCCCCGCGAACCTCCCGCCATTTTGGACCCCGGGATCCGGCGCCGCGGCGCGGGGGGAGGCAGCCGGGGCGAGAGGCCGAGCGCGGAGCCGCCGCACAAGCGCTGAGAAACGCGCCGCCTCCGTCGCGCCTCCTAATCCTGACACTGACCCGGCTCCTCCGCCCCACCTCCTCCCCCCGTCACCGGGGTGATTTCACTCACCCCTCCTCGCCCTGTCTAATGGTGCGGCCCGGAGTGCGCCGCCCAAAGGCCTCCGGCCGGGAAGCGCCACCGCCTGTGTTCGACTCGGCTGGGGAAGAGGCTGCAGGGCCCTTGGCTCCATGGCGTTGCCAGGTGAGAGGCCCGTCCTGGCGTGGGGGGAGCGGGGGCCCGAGGAGACCTTGAGGCACCTGGCGCAGGAGGCGAGGAAAGGAGCCTGGCTGCCCGGGGCCGTCGGCTTCCCGCATTGGCGGTGGGGGCGCCCCACAGTGAACATCCGGTCGCCCTTACTTGAAGGGGGCAGGACCCCTCCTGGGAGAGTGAGTAAAGGGCGGAGGGGAGGGTGCCCCCACAGACGAGATGGGAGACCAGACCAGGTGGGGCAATCCTACAAAAAGGTGCCCAGGGTGAGAACACAAAGTGAAGCTTTACAAGAGCCAGAAAGCGAGTGGGGACCGTGTATCAGCCTGGAGGGGAAGTGGCCACAAAACAAAACACAAGGAAAGAAACCCAGATTTCATGTTGTGGAAAAGTTGTTTTATATTGACATTTTAAGGCCAGAAGAGCTCATCATGATTATCTAGTCTGGCATGCACATTGCAGGCTACAGAATCTCACCCACCCACTCCTGTAATAAAACCATAGTCTGGCTAAATTACTGAAGTCCTTGAATCATGATTTAAAGACTTCAAATTACAAAGAATCCATCATTTACAGTACTGTAACCCTACAAGTGACCTGAGCCCCATGCTGCAGCGGAAAGTGAAAATCCCCAGTCTGGCTCCTTTCTCATTGCAAATATGGCAATCCTTAGACCTTGAGCATGTTCATGAAACACACCAGCTAGATACCTGGGGGGAAAATATGCTCCCCGTCTGATGACCAATCTTTGGCTGTTGGAGTGGAGATATTTGTTACTAAGAGTTGTAGATGGGCCACATGCCATTGTAGGCAATTTCATCATAGCATCCCTCCATAAACTTATCATGCTCTGTCTTGAAACCAGTTAGGGGTTTTGCCCTCACTGCTTCCCTTGGAAGGGATTATTCCCCTCTATTCGACACTAGTGAGGCCACACCTGGAGTATTCTGTCCAGTTTTGGTCCCCCTCCTCTCCCCCCCACTACAGAAGGGATGTGGACAAATTGGAGAGAGTCCAGCAGTGGGCAACAAAAATGATTAGGGGGCTGGGGCACATGATTTACAAGGAGAGGCTGAGGGAACTGGGGTTATTTAGTCTGCAGAAGAGAAGAGTGAGTGGGAATTTGATAGCAGCCTTCAACTACCTGAAGGGGGGCGGTTCCATAGAGGATGGAGCTAGGCTGTTCTCAGTGATGGCAGATGACAGAACAAGAAGCAATTATCTCAAGTTGCAGTGGGAGAGGTCTAGGAAACACTAGGAGGGTGGTGAAGCACTGGAATGGGTTACCTAAGGAGATGGTGGAATCTCCATCCTTAGAGGTTTTTAAGGCCCAGCTTGACAAAGCCTTGGCTGGGATGATTTTGTTGGTGTTGGTCCTGCTTTGAGTACGGGATTGGACTAGATGACCTCCTGAGGTCTCTTCCAACCCTAATATTCTATGATTCATTGATTCCAGAACCTCACTCTGATAGTTAGAAATCTTTGTTTAATTTCAAGCCTAAACTGGTTGATGGACAGATTATAGCCATTTGTTCTTGTGCCATCTCTAGTCCCTAATTTAAATAGGTCTTCTCCCTTTTTATTCCTCTGATGGATTTGTAGAAAGCAGTCGTATCTCCCCTCAGCCTTCATTTGGTTAGGCTAAACAAGTCAAGCTCCTTAAGAGTATGTCTATGCAGCAAAGAAAGTCCTGTAGCTAGTCCGTGCCAGCCGACTCGGGCGACGAGGCTGTTTCGTTGCTGTGTCGGTTTCTGGGCTTGGACTGGAGCCTGGACTCTAGAACCCTGCGGGATGGGAGGGTCCCAGAGCTTGGGCACCAGTCCAAGCCCAGAAGTCCACACAGCAATGAAACAGCCCCCAGCCCAAGCCCCCTCTTCCCTCCCCCCCGAGCCCAAGTTGGCTGGCATGGGTAAGCCAGAGTTTTTTCTTTGCTATGTGGACATACCCTAAGTCTCCTCTTGGAAAGTATGTTCTTCGTTCCTCTGATCACCCTAGTAGCCTTTCTCTGCACCTGTTCCAGTTTGAATTCATCTTTCTTAAGTATTACAGATGAGGTCTCACCAGTGGTTTGTAATATGGTAATAACATTTCCTTATATCTACTGTAAATACCTTACCTGATGCATCCTTAGATTGCATTAGCTTTTTTGATGGCTGCATCACATTGGTGACTTATGGTCGTTCTGTAACTGACCAAAACTCCAAGGTCTTTTTCCTCCTCTGTCATTTCCAACTGATATGTCCCCAGTTTATAGAAAAAAATCTTGTTGTTAGTTCTTAGGTGCATGAGCTTGCACTTTGCACTTTTAAATTTCATCCTATTGCTATTGTTACCTAGGGTTTTCAGAAGCCAAAGCAGTGGTAATTTAACGGTTTCTCTGTAGGCAGTGTCAGGAATAAATGAGTGGGGACACAGCTCCTCCATCTGATCAATGATTGGCACAAACAAGTGTTTTTACCTAAAACTACTTTTTTATTAGGTCTCAAGCACATGCGCATGCACACACATGCTGTAGCAGTAGATTCAGATTTAGGTCTGAATCTACCAAAGTTTAAGATGGTTTTGAGGAATCAACAGCCAGCCTTCCGGGGGCCCTCCTTCCATCTAGCTGCTGGGAAACTTAGGTGTCAGATCCTTGTCTAAAGAAAAGCTTCCTCAGTCTGATCCAAAGCATATTCTTTTACCTAATCTTTTATAGCTAACTTTAAACAAAGCACATAACTTACAGTGACTCCTAGTGGATCACCATAGTAACCCCCAAAAGTCACCAATTCTCGTAATTTCAGCAAACTACTCATTATCTCATATCAAAGCATTTCTAGTCATAACAATAAAACGTGCGTGTCAGAGGCACTTAAAACCAAGGTCGGCTGTCCAAACATTCCTTCTATTTTCACTAACTCCTTGTCCCATCCTTCCATTCTGATTAGTAGAACTGCAAACATGCAGCTGCACGTTCTTGCTTCTCAGGGCCAAAATTATTCCTAGCTATGCTATGTGGAGTTTGTTTTTTCAGCTAGCAGTGACTGAACATACAAGATGGCTGATGGCAGTATTGCCACATTCTGGGGTTACCGCAGGACTGTCAAATTCTGGGTAACACTATTACTCCAGTTTTCAAGGTCATCCACCCTTCTTGTATGATGTTCCAGTCCTCCTCCATATTGGCAATACCTCCCAACTTTGTGTCATCTGGAAATTTTATTAGCGTACTTCTATTTTTTGTGCCAAGGTCATTAATAAAAATGTTAAATAAGACTGGTCTCAAGACTGATCCCTGAGGAACTCCACTAGTAACCTTCCTCCAGCCTGACAGTTCAGCTTTTGCTACGGCCAGTTGTAGTCTCCCCTTTCACCGATTCCTTGTGTCTTTCAATTCTCATATTAATCCCTATTTTCTCCAGTCGTAAGTTTCAAAAAGAGAGACAGACAGACACAGCCTTTGGCTTCTTGGATGCAGGGCCGGCTCCAGCATTTCTGCCGCCCCAAACCAAAAAAAAAAAAGCCGCAATCGCGATCGGCGGCAGCAATTTGGGGGGTGAGGGGGGAAAAGCCACGATCGGCGGCGGCAGTTCAGCGGCAGGTCCTTCGCTCCTAGAGGGAGTGAGGGACCTGCCACCCCCGAATTGCCGCAGGTGCCGCCCCTCTCCCTTGGCCGCCCCAAGCAACTGCTTGTTAAGCTGGTGCCTGGAGCCGGCCCTGCTTTGATGATCTATTCCTGATCATAGGCAAGGGAAGGAGATAATTCCATACTAATTCTGCTGGGTCTCTCTGCAACATCACCAAATACTCCTATTGCAGCCCAGTAAGTGTGGGGATGAACAGAAATATCCTGAAATAACTACAGTCCTTTCTCTCAAACCAAATCCAAAGGGTTGTTATGGGCAACGGTTTCTCCACCTCCATAGCCTCTGTCTGCAGTCGGTGTCTCACAAGGCTGTTATTTTCCTCACCTTATTCCATATCTATGTGAAACCACTGGGAATGCTGATGACAATGTTCAGGCTGAATTGCCAACAGTATATAGATGATATCCAGCTCTGCCTCTGCTTAATGTAGAGCATAAATAGCTCTATATCCAAGTTTTCTCAGTATGGAAATAAAATTAGCTCTTAGTAGAAGAGCAGTTGAATAAAGGTGAAAGCTGAAACTCTTGGATGCAAGCTATTTGGACCTACTAATTTAAAAATGTCTGACTTTAATAGCTGCCGTCTAACATCCTCATGAGAGATCTTTATGGAAAGAGTGTAATCATCATATGAGATGACTAAATCATCTGGCTTATCCCCAAATACAGAAAAGAAATATTTATTGAACAGTTTTGCCTTTTCTGTGTTATAATAATAATTCCACCATTTCCATTTAGTAATCGTCCAAAACCATTGTTAGGGTTCTTTATGTTCTTATATACTTTTAAAAACACTCATCCTTTTTGTACTTAACTCTGCTGGCCATAGTTTTCTCTTTGTGTCCATTTGCTTCCCTTATCAATTGTCTACAATTCATAGCTTCTGATATATATTCATTATTGCTAACTTCCCCTTTATTTCATTTGTTATATATTGTTTTATCATCATTATCATTATTATTTTCTATAGCCCCCTTCACTTCCCCTTTAAGCCAGGTCATTTTTTTAACCAGTACGGCTTTTCTGGATTGTGATATTATGGCTTTTGGGGCATCTAGTAAAGTGTTCTTAAACAATTCCCAATTATCATTCACATTTTTGTGATTAAATTCTTCCTCCCAACTGATATGGCTCATAATTGTTTTTAGTTTTGTGAAATTTGCCTTTTTAAAGCACCAAGTGCATATATTACTGGTTTGGACTGTATTCTGCCTGCATGTGACAAATGTGATCAAATCATAATCACTTGTACCTAAGCTACCACTAATTTTTAGTTCTGTGATGAATTCCTCTTTATCTGTAAAGATGAGATCTAATATAGAATTTGCCCATGTTGAATGCAATACTTTTTGAGTTAGGAAATTCT